GGTTCAGCATCTTCTCCTCTCCTCTCTTGGCAGCATCTCCGCGGAGAAGACGCGTCCGGCCGAGGTGGAGAGGGCAGGGTGAAGAAAGCTGATGTGAGCACGGTGGTGTGGGAGAGCTGCCCGCGGCACTCGCTGCCTCTTGGTGGGGTCTGGGACCACGAACTGCCGTCCTGGGTGTGTGTCACATCTGCTTCTCCTATGGGCTGCACCCCTGACACTACACACTGCTTTCTGTCGTTCTCACAGGACCCTGGAGAAGAGGTTGTGCAAATGGAGGTGACCCCAAAGAAGCAGCATCAGAAGCGTGTGAAGCATGGGCAGTATCAGCAGCTTGAGCAGGTAACAGATCTGGCTCTAGTTGATGCCTGTGTAAACTTACTGAACCCTGTTATTGTTTTGCAGCTCCTCGTTGTTGCTGTGAACGTGGTGAAACATATATACAGCTGCCACATGCTGCGTGGCAGTGGGTGAGGGGCTCTGCTGGCCCTGGTGATGGAGCATGCAAAACACTTTGGCCCATACAGGTTGCTTTGGGGTCTTTGCAAGAGAGGCCTGTGTTGGTCTAAACCATTCAGTTAGTACTTACATTCAGCTGTCTTGGGATTGCCAAGGTGCAGCTGACAGAAGCCTTGATGTGCTTTCAGGCCTACATGGAGGAGCTCTGCATTGACCTCTTTAGAGAATTGCAAAAGTACAATCATGTGCTTACATACCTTGTACATGTGTTCATGTAGCTCCTTGGCCAAAGCACAAGACACTCAGGGTGGTTCTCCATGTCTCTACTCTGTACCACCTGGAAGAGGGGGAAGAGTTCCCTTTTCTTCCACCATCAGCTCCATTCCCATTGACAAAGGTCATTGTCAGACTGGCAAACTAAGGGATTCCTGATTAGAACTTTGAAGTCTGTACTAGATGCTAATGGCACAGTAAGATAAACTTCATTTCTCTGCAGAGTAAAGGGATAATTTCTGTCAAGCCTCTTCCCTGTGAAAACCAGTCCTGCAGTGGAGGTTGATAGTGACCATCGACAGTTTTCTCAGTAGTACATTGAGAATGATCTGAATTACAAAGTCATAACTAGCTTTAGTGGTGTCCTCTAGTGCTCTTTGCACCCTTTCTGTTTTCTTCAAAACAGGGATGCTGTTGGTATCTATACTGGATGCCATGTTGGTATATGGAGCTGAAAGCATAATGCTTTTGTACAAGGAGACGCTCACTCAAAATAAAACAGAGTAGCCTGTGCCCTGGAATAGGCTTATTCCCTTCCTGTTTTCCTGCACACACACACGTGCTCACTCAGTCACTGTCACTGGGTCTTCAGCCTGTTAATGCACACACAGGGCGATACTTAAGTCGCAGAAGTCACGATCAGGGTGTGCAGACTGTACTCATTTGGTACACGAGGCTATGCATAATGTGGCACATCTAACCAGAAGTGGCAGCTGGAAGTTCTAAGACTGAAGTGCTACCATAACAGATGGGCATCATTGTTTGGAATGGCCTCTGCTTGTTGCAACTGCGTATACTAGTTATCAGTCAACATATTAAGCAGGGCTCAAATGGTGAGCATTTAATGAGGGGATCTCTCCTTCCCTTCTGTCTTTCTTTTGCGCAGTATATTAAACTAATTTCTCACTTCTGACAAGGAAGAGCTGCCTGTCCTTCGCCACAGCTTTCTCCTTCACCAAAAGATTCATTCTGTTTGGGCTGAGCAAGGCCTTCTTGTGCATGTTTGTTGCATAATAATAAAGGGCTGTTAAAAAAATAAAATCTTAACGGGCTCCCAATTTTACCTTCTTCCAGAAAGGCAGTGGAAAGAAACCTGAAATATATGTTGCATAGGTTGACCTTCAACTTTGAAAGTAGATAAAGACTTCCCACCTTGTCTTCTTGTTTGCGCTTGTGGCCTGGCAGCCATTCAGTGTTACTTCAGGAATGATAGGTCAACTCAGGTTTATATAATTTAGGTGGTAGGCTTCAAAAATACTTACTCAGGAATTTTTCAAGCATAGGATGCTGGTGGGATTTGACCCTTTGCTTCTGCAAACCGTAAATAATTTGGGTACCTGTGTATCGCTCCCCTCATAGAGGAGGGTTTTTTTGTTGTGACAAAATAGCCAGATTGTAACAGATCTGGTTAAAAAAGCTAACATTTGGCTGCACAGCAGCAGCTCTTCAGTCTATGGTGTGACACAAGCTATTCTCTGATATAAATTGCCATGGACCACTAATGAGAATATGTTTACGGTTCCAGCAGTAGCATAGCTGCTTGTATGATAGCCAGGGAGATAGTTATTCTGTTGAGACACAACAATTCTAAAATGCAAGCAGCCATAAATCCACTGCAGCCTATACCACATGACTTGTACATTAAATAAATTGTTTACTGACACTGGTTTATCCACAAGGCAAAATATCATAGTCACATCCCACTTTATGACATCTTCATAGTCAATTCATTAGTTTGCTTCTGTGGAACATAAGGCCTGAGTTCTTAATTAGGATGCTGTTACCCTTTATGTGATGAAAGGGTGGCTATATCATCAGGTCTGTGACAGCAGAATATTGCACAAATTCTGTGTTTGATTTTAGGGAACTGGCACTGCTGTAATTCTGCTAGCAATTCTCATATTAATTCTGGCTGCTTTCTGTGGATGAATACACTTCCAAGGCTCCATGTAAAACAAAATTCATCTAACTAGATTAATCTGTGCTATTGTAACACAAATTACGTGGCCACCTTCATCTAAAGTGGAGAATTGAATCTAGAAGTTAGTTAGTTTCTTTAGATGAAACTATCCAATGTTTACAGGTGTAACGATTTTCTTTAGATGAAACTATCCAATGTTTGCAGGGGTAACGACAGAGTAAACACTTGGGAAATAGTTTTGATCAGTTTCTCACTAGACAGTTTCCAGAATCTGGTCTTAGTGTTGTCAAAATATTCCACCTAACTGGTTTGAAAATATCGTCCAAAAGGTTTCTTTAATCTAGGCTAACTTTGAAGGATCCAATTGAAAAAAAAACCAAAGCAAATCTCACAAAAAACCTGTGCAAGCCCAAAGGAAGCTCTTCATGGTTTCCTCACACCTTCCCCACCTTCAACTGCTCCTATTTCCTTGCAGTTAGTGTGTTGTAATGCAGTTTCTTGATATTGTTTCTCAGTTTTGATTGAATGTCTTGCTAGGTGTGCTTTAAAGGCTCAAGAGCCTGACTGATGTTTGTTCCCTCAACCAAAATCCATGACAGACTTTTCATGTTCCCTTACCTGCACTAATTCAGGCTCCTGTCTCCCTTCTTGATGGTCTCTTTCTTTTGAGGGCGCTGCACGTTAGTGTCCTTGTCTCTAGCTAAGCTGTATGTTTTTTGTTGCTTGCATCTTTTCCTCAGTTGTCTTGTTAAATGACATTATCGTGTCCTTGTCTCTAGCTAAGCTGTATGATTTTTGTTGCTTGCATCAGTTGTCTTGTTAAATGACATCATGTAGCCAAAACCTTTGTTTTCCCTTCTCAAAATACCTGAGAGGCTCTTGACCTTTGATTTCTCTTCTCTTATAGAAGATTCAGAGTATGAAATTGCTTCAGTAAATGTTGCTGTTGCATGTAGTATGTGATGTGTCTACTTTGAGAACTCTGTGGAGCAGATCCCTGGTCCTTCAGAAGCTGCTGGTGTAATAGGCACCTTTAAGCAGATATTACATCATTTACTGCTTTTCTGTTGGTTTGCTGATTAACTGATAAAGCAGCACTTCTCCAAAGGCTGTTGGCAACTGGGCCTGCTGTACAGTTTGGAGAGCAAAGTGTGACTAAAGTCTGGTTTTGAGAAAAAAATTAATTTAGAGCAATGCTGATGCAACAGTTTCATTCAAACTTTCGGTTTGTAAGGAGTCTGTAATATCTAAGATAAAGATACTATTCCCTCTTTTTTCCTCCCTCCCACCCAAATTAAGTCAAGGCATGGCTGGGTATGTAGCTGTGCTAGATTTGCATGTAGAACTCCAAGAAGAAAAAGGACCAATCTGTGTGTCAGTAACTCAAGTACAAAGCAGTCTTAGCTGTGAATGAACTGTGAAATGTGGTTTCTGTTTCATCAAGTCAGTGGTTTCTGTTTCTGAAGCTGATGCAGGAGGTAGCCACTTTGCTGGAAAGTGATGTCATTTGTAGGGACCACAGGGCAAAAATCAGGTGTGGAAACTTCTTTGCAAGCAGCAAAGTTTCATGTTTAGTATTTTACTTGTTAGCACCTAATAATTCTTCTGAATGTTCAAAATTTTGCTGCATATTAGAAATCTTGCTGGGAACTTCTGTCCTTTTAGTGGTGCAGAACAGATCAGTTCACTCTGACTTGGATAATCTTCCATGAAACTGTTGTGATCCTTCAAAAGAAGAACAGGGTGAATGTTCTTCAGCTTTAGTTGCAAACTTTCTCTACTGTGAAAATAAGCAGTGTCCCTCTACTCAGCACTGGTGAAGACACATCTGTAGTACTGTGTCCACTTCTTCTGGGCTCCCCAGTACATGAGACCTGAACATACTGGAGAGAGGCCAGGAAAGGTGCCTTAAGATGATTGAGGGACCAGAGCATCTTTTCCATAAGGAAAGGCTGGAGGACATGGAGCTGTTTAGCCTGAAGAAAAGATGGCTCATGGGAATTGTTTCAACTGTATATAAGTATTAGAAGGGAGGATGTAAAGAAAATAGAACCAAGCTCTTTTCAGTGATGGGACAAGAGACAGTGGACACAAACTGAAGCACAGGAGGTTCCCTCTGAACACCAGTAAACACTTTACTGTGAAGCACAGTACTGACACAGGTTGCCCAAAGAGTTTGTGGACTCTCCATCCTTGGAGATATTCAAAAGCCTTCTGGACATGGTCCTGGGCAACTGGCTCTTGGTGGCTCTGCTTGAGCAGAGGGGTTGGACAAAATGACCTGCAGAGCTGCCTTCCAGCCTCTGCCATTCAGTGATCCTGTGCAGTTTAGGGAGGTAATCAGTTTTTGTCATAATTTCTTGTCTTCTGTTCACAGCTAAAGTGATTCTTTAAAAAGGCACCGGGTGAAATCTCTTTTATCTCCCAGATATCCTGGAATGACATTGACAAGAATGCCCAGATGCTAATTCCTACTCCGGATAACGATGAGGATTCACTTGATCACTCTCACTTTAGATGTCAGAGTGTTTGGACCAGACCTTGCCCATTACCAGTTCTAGAGTAAGTGTGCTGGTTTGCTGCTGCTACTCTGCCTTCCTTTTGCCTGATGAGCCAAGACTAACCATTGCTCTGTCTCAGCTGGGCCAACAGTGATGATGTATGGGCAGACATGATGAACAAAGACCAGATGTACACGAGGGATAAATTTTATATGCTAAGGCACCCTCTCCTGCAACCTGAAATGAGAACAACCCTTCTAGACTGGCTAATGAAGGTAAGCTGTTCTGTGCCTGTGAGTGTTTCAAGTGTGCTTTTGTTGAAGTGCACTAATAACTGTCACGAGTGCACTTCATGATCTTTGCATTGAGCTCCAGACACTCGTCTTCATCTTAAATTTTGTCAATAAATGGCACCAAGCTTAAAGAATATATGATGTATTGAGTTGATGGTCTGCAAACTGACAGTATGTTCTATTATTCATTTAGACTGATAGTGGATAATAATCAGTTTGTGCCTACCACAATGGAAGTTTTTAAGGTCACACTGCAGATAAAAGCTGAACAAATGATTGTGAAAGCCACTGTATGAAGGAAGGTGTGGTAGCTTAGAGATCAGATCCATCTCACAACCTTTTTATCTGGTTTTGGCATGTAGAATGTGCTACAGCTCTTCTCACTGTATGTGAGTCTTTCTTGCTGTTGGGATGACTTGACCTGTGTTCTTAATTATGAAGTACTTGTGAGAATTTTCTCCTTTGAGGTGTTGGAATGATGCATCTTTGCAAAAAAAAATGAGGAACGGATGTTCTGACACTGTTGGAACATGTCCTTGCATTTCCTAAAAGGTGTTTCACTATTTTCTTTTTTTTGGAAGTTACTGTCATCTCGTGTCAGCAAACTGCTTAACTCCTGTTCCTAGTTAACTTGTTGCTGTACAATAACATCGATGCAGAAAGCCAGTATGAATTTTATGCTCTTGCTTTGGTTTTTTTTTTTTTTTGATACACCTGTAATATCTGTTTTTTGACTCTTTAACCCTGTTCTTGACCTTTGCAATCTGTTGTACCTCCAGATTTGTGAAACCTTCAAGCTTCATTGACAAACGTTTTATTTAGCACAAGATTTCTTAGATCGGATTATGGCAATGAAAAAGAATGTGACAAAAACACAAATGCAGCTTATTGGTGTCTCTTCTTTATTCATAGCAGCAAAGCTTGAGGTAAGTATCTCCAGCTGTACTTATACATAAAAATATGACAGGACAGACAGATATTTCTTGTCTGTCTGACACATTTTGTCAGGCTTGATGCCATTTGTTGTTATGACTTTTTCAGCTGGGAGGTAAAAAAAAAGTTCCTTTTTTCTTTTCCACACTCCTATTTTTTTTTTTTAGAAGTGGGTAAAATTCTCCTGTGATATCAGTTAACTTTATCTCATTAGAGAATTCACTGTTGGAATAAATCTGAAGTTTTAATTGTGGTTTGCTAAATGAATTTTTGGCTGGCAGTTGTATACAGAAATGACATGTTGCAATTCTATGGCCAGTACTTACTGCATGGTAGTCTGAGCTGTTCTTCATTTACTGGAACAAATTGAACTATTCAAATACACAGTGTTTTTACAGTCCTTACTGTTAGTTGTTTGAGAGCTATTCTTCAATCTGTTCTTCTCGAGCAAGAGATAAAAGGCCTTTTCCTTAGGATATTTAAAATAGCCTTGATGTCAGTTATGGTACAGTCACAGTGGTGCTGTAGTTAAACACATCAGGTTGTACTGATCCATCCAAAGTGAGAGTTGAAGGCTGTGAACAGGTAGATTGAACAAGAAGTCTGTGTCTATTAAAGGCAGAGAACACCAGGAGATAAAAACTAGGGATGGTTCTTTCCCCCCACCCATTTTGAAAGGCTGAAGCACTAGTGGGTTGCTAATTTTTACTTTTTTCTCTTAAATTAGCACATGAGCCTAGTTACAACCTGTTCCACAGATCAATTGCTTGATCTCCTATCTTTCAGGAAGCCTGCCCACCCAAGGTGCAGCAGTTGGCCTATGTTACACATGGAGTCTGTACAGAAAATGAAATCATCCATATGGAAATGGCCCTTTTGAAGGTAATATTACTTTAGCTTTAGAAATGAATAGTATAATCAGATGACAAGTAGAGCCTCAGTTAATCTTGTGTGCTGCTAAAAGGCACAGCTTCTCTTAATTAAAAATAGTATTTTCTCCAGACAATCAGTGATCTAAAGTTATCCACCTGTATGTGTGTGTTACCAAAATGATTTGTTCCCTGACCCTACCAGCAGCAAGGGGTAGAGGACTTGATTTCCATGTTTCACAGATGCCTTACTGGGATTAGAGCTTCTCATCTGAATTATATAAAGTTGCAGGGTTGAATTTAGGAACTCCTTATTGACACTGAAGTGTTGTGTGTGTCTGTTCTTTCAGGTTCTTAAATGGAACTTGCATCCAGTGACAGTTGTGTCATGGCTAAACACTTACTTGCAAACTGCATATTTAAATGAGACTTACTCGGTGATGCTGCCACAATATCCTCAGGAAATATTTGTACAAATCATGGAGGTAAGACTGATTTCCTTCAGATGCTGAGCAGAAAGTGTTCTTGTGACGGACTCATTAACCATCTGTGCTGGTTTGAGCTGGAGTAGAGTTAACTTTCTTCACAGAGGCTAGTATGAGGCTATGTTTGGGTTTTGTGCAGAACACAGAGTTGATAATGCAGAGATGTTTTTGTTATTGCTGAGCAGAGCTCACACAGAGCCAAGGCCTTTGCTGCTTTCCATACTGCCACACTGGCAAGGAAGTTGGGGATGCATGGGAGACTGGGAGGAGACACAGCTGGGACAGGTGACCCAAACTGACCAAAGGGATATTCCATACCATATGACATCATGCTCAGGATATAAGGTGGGAGGAAGAAGGAGGAAGGGGGAACATCTGGAGTGATGGTGTTTGTCTTCCCAAGGAACCGTTACGCGTGATGGGCCCTGCTCTCCTGGAGATGGCTAAACACCTCCTGTCTGTGGGAAGCAGTGAATTAATTCCTTGTTTTGCTTTGCTTGTGTGTGCAGCTTTTGCTTTCTCTATTAAACTGTCTTTATCTCAACCCATGAGTTTTTGTAGCTTTTACCCTTCTAATTCGCTCCCCCATCCTGCTGGTGGGGGAGTGAGTGAGAGGCTGTGTGGTTCTTGGCTGCTGCTGGGGTTAAACCACAACACCATCTATCGTCTTGCAGCTCTTGGATCTCTGTGTGCTGGATATTGGCTGCTTGGAATACAACAATGGAATATTCGCAGCTTCTGCTTTGTGCCACTTCTTGTCCTTTCAGCTGATGCAAAAAGTTTCAGGTATTGGCACATGTAAACTAAGACTAATGTGTTGGCAAATATTGTCTTCGTTCAGGCAGATAAGCATATGTCTTTCCTTGCAGGTTATGAGAAACATGAGGTAGAGGCATGTGTGAAGTGGATGGTCCCGTTTGCCATGGCGATACAGGAAATAGGAAGCTCCAAACTCAAACCCTTTAGTGGAATAGCTCCTGACCATTCACACGAGATACAGACACACATAAACAGCTTTGATTTGCTGGTATGTATGGGCATAGGGACAAATCTTGTCTGTAAAACCTCTGAAGTCTTGTTTCCTCTTTGGTTAGAACATACAGTAAACTGAAGTGGAGCATTATCAGATTGAGTCTGAGGATGTTCAGGTGATAAAAGGCATAAGGTTGTACTCCAGTTCCAAAATTCTTCGGACTGAGACTTGTCTTGGGATTGACTCATTCAGTATTCAGTTTCCAAAGGTGATGGTGACTTCAGCCTCTCATTGCAAATGGCAGATAATTACCCTGGAAACTGGAAGCATATTTCTACCCTTTGGGACACTTCACATACCATGTGTTAGATCTTTCTCTATAGGAACTACGGGTAATACAACCTTGTCTGAAGAAAAAGAGGAAATAAAGACTGATCACTTGTGGGACTCTTATATGACAGTGGTGGTTAACAAGCAGTTGAGCAAGAGTGGGTTTTAGCCTGAGAAACTTGCAGAGGATCAAAATCTGGTCCAAATTGTGGTTAATCTAGGCTGTTTGGATTGCTTTTCTATATAATTTATTTAACTGTAGTAGGAGTTAGTTCTTCCTGTTCAGTTGCTTCTGAATTTTGCTTTCTTGAAGGTACAGGAATGCTTGTATCCTGTGTGTGCATAGTGCTAATCATCAGTCCCCAGAAGCTAATCCTGATCTCATGGAGTTGTACTAGGAGATAACTATAACTTGAGTTACAACCACAAGTAACTATTGTGTACTAGATGATTTATCAGTTACTGTTAGGAAGGTTAGATACAGATATGCATTTCCAGACTAGTAATCTCTCGGATTATAAAACACTGAATTATATTGATCTGTTGCTTAGATATACAAAAGTAAAGATTATTTTTTTTCCCCCTCCCTGTGCTTTCAGGACAGAGCTCAAGCAAAACAAGCCATATTGGCTGAGCAAAATAAGACTTCACTTTTTCCCACTGGCATCTTTACACCACCACAAAGTAGCAAGAAACAATCTTCTGACATGCCTGTTCTGCTGGTTCTAGCTCCTGCTCCATTACAGAAATGCTGCCAGTGAAGTTCATAAGCTTTTATGGAATCTGAAAAGGAAACCTTTACTTACATGTGACAGAAGAGTTCTTCTATTTCTAAATAGTTTTATTGACTGTTAAAATATTTTAAAGAAACGGATCAAGTACACCAGCCACTTGAAAGAACACCAAAGTGCTCCAGATGCTGCTACGGAGGGTGATGCTTGATCAGCTGTTCAGAAAAAGGGCTTGAAGTTTAGTCACTGTCATCTGTAGTTGTCTGTCCTCTGACAAATGGGCAAAAAGTGCTGTGGAAGACAACATTTCAAAGCATCTTTTCTCGAATGGTTGGCTTACAACATGAAGCCTTTAAAAAAAACCTCTTTACAAGCTGCTATGTCTCTATGTATTCATTTTTAAAGAAAATGCTGTCTAAGACAGCTGGGTCTATGAAGATTTCTATTTTAATTATGATCAGTTAAGGTTTTTTTCAGACTGTGTCCACTAATAGTGTGGGAGTTGGGGATGAACAGTGTAGTAACTGTTGCTTTACTACTATTGGCTTATCGATTGAAACTTTTTTTTTTGGATGCTAAGATAAAATTGTCACGTTGGGCTACTTGGATTTCTGCTAGCCTGATGCAGGAGGCTAGGGAGGGGATAATAGACATGATCTGGGGAATCCTTCTACAACACACTTTGTAACAATCAGCATACTGGGAAATCATGGAATAGGATTGTCTGCATTATGCTTAGCAAGAGGTGATCAGTAGGAAGGGCCTACCTCCTCTTAAAACAGTCACTTAAACTTGGGATTTTAGCATAGTATTTGACAACTAAGCATCTTCCATGTGAAACTAATCTCTGGAGAGGTGTTTGCCTCCTTAGAAGGGAGGTCCTTGACCTCTGCAGCACCTGAGAACCTGAGAAGTCCTGGTAGGATGTTTTGTGGAAAGTCATGGCTTTGGAGAAGAGGGGAATACAGAAATAAGTGGTTGTTGCCTGTTTTTGTCATGGTTTTTGCTTTGAAGGACTGTTCAACACTGAAAACTTCTATCAGGATTCATCATGCTGCATTAGTTCCCAGCAAGGCTGCTTTTTATTACTATTTTTTTAAGTTATTCTCCCACTTGATCTTCCCTGACCCAGTGTTCTGATAAATGTTGAAGCTTTAATGTAATAAAAATGTCTATGGTAACTAAATGGTAAGCAAATTATTTGGTTCTGTTTTTTCTCCTTGCAATGAATGGTTTTAAGTTCTGTGCTAACAAGTATAAATGGGAGCTGAACAAGTTTGTTGGTGCTAGTTCAGAGAGGTTTTAACTTCTCAGAGAATTACATGTCCTGGACAACTGAATGTTATATTTGCTGATATTGTAAAAGTTTGTATTATTGAAGGACTTAAGACACGTTTTGGTACTTTGTCCTTAAATTTAGAACACAAAATGGGCATGGGTGGGGGAAACAATAACCCTCCTGAAAGGTAATCTCTAGGCTCTAATTTCTGAATCACCAGGCAAGATTTGGTACTGGTCCTTTTGCTGTTATTTTTCAGTGCTTAGTCACTTTTGTCTGTTTCACCCAAAAAAACGCCAAGAAAGTTTAAAAAATGGAGTTCTAGCTGACCTCTTAAGAGTGGGGATTGCATTTTCTTTATGACTTGTCAACTGTTCAAGAAAATATTCTGTAGTAACATTTACTGATATGGTGAACTCTTAACTTTCAGTTTAAGCTAAATATTAACTACAGTTAATACCTATTCCAGAGTGGGTACAGGTGTTCCATGTGTTCTCTGGGCTGTGTGGGACACCAGGATCAGGGATCTATATGTCTCTATAAATGAGACTGTTCAGCTCATAGGCCTCTCCAAATCAGATCTCTGCTTCAAGTGGAAATTCTGCTAATTTTCTCTCTCTTCCTCCCATGTTTCTAGAAGATCAACCTGCTTTATTCCCATGGGCAGCAGTCTGTTCAGAGCATGGAGGTCATAACTTGCAGCTTCCCAGGTAGGAATGCAGCACTTTCCAGCTGGGGTGACTTACCTTAAGAGCTGTTTTCTTACTTTCCCATCTTTTGTGCCTTAAGAATCTCTGGTTGTTTTGCAATACACATGGATACTGTGTCTGTCTGAGTGTGGTGTGATTTTTTACAGCAGCCTGAAAAAAGTCATGCACTGGTTGCCACAGCCTGAAAAACATTTTAGGGAGGAACAGTGCAGCTAATTTTAAGGAAGATAGTTGTCCCTATTGGAAAAAAACAGTCAAGATAAAAAAAAAAACCAAACCCAACCACCTCCAAGAGGTAGTTTCATCCATATTTTTTTGCCTGTGAATTCTAGTCTCCTAAATTCTCTCTGATCCTGGCCCAGTCTGGCAGGGGGAAGTGAGGGGATAGTTCTGTGTGGCTATGTAAGAGAAAAAGGATTGGCATGTTTACAGCTGTTTGTACAACAAAGATGAGCTAATATCAAGTGAGCTGTTCCTGCAAGCTGCCTCTGAGTCTCAGCACCCTGAGAGGTGGGGAGAGGCTCCAGGGGAGGATGGCCCCACGGTGCTGCAGGAGGGTACATGGCACTGGGCAACCCTGGAAAAGCAATTTAGCTGTGCAGTACTACACACCCCTCAACTCAAAACTGCCTCTCTCTTTAATAGCTACAGCCCAGCATAAAGCATGCTGCAAAGTAAATTGAATTTGCAGTAACCCAGGTGGCATATACGATTATCTTCCTCCTCCTGAAAGGTTTGTCATAATGATGTATCAAACCCTCACCTTGGGCTGAAAGCTGGGGGCATCAGAGGAACTGAAGAAGAGGCATGAATCCAGCACTGATTTTGTATAATGCTACTATAAGATTGAAAGTTGGTGGTGGCTGGGACTGTCTTGAAGGAAGTAGCCCCAAACGAGTGAGGCTGCACTTGTGAGCTGGGGCTGGAGAGGAAGAGTTGCTGGTGAGCTGAAAGGATGGAGGTGCAGTGGTCCCCACTGCTCAGCTGTTGTAAATGCCTTAGATACATAACAGTAGTTCATAAAAACAGTTCTGCCCAGCTTGTCTGCTCAAAAGAGGGAGGATGGTCTGTCTCTGGCTATCTGTCCATTTCTAGGTCTTGGCTCAGCGTCTCCTCTTGATTTCTGGGAATTAGTCTGTCCATTTCTAGGTCTTGGCTCAGCATCTCCTCTTGATTCCTGGGAATTACAACAGGAATGGTTTGTTACATCCCTACTTGCACGAGGAGGAGGAGGTGAGCAGCCAACCCATGGGAGCTGCAGGCCCTGCAAGCTCTCATGACTTGCCTCAGGTTTCTCACTGTTCCTGGGGTGGTTTCCTGCCTGTACAGCACAGCAGCAGCAGCCTCAGTCCAGGCAGCTGGGAGCAACACTCCTTCCACCAGGCTCTGAAGTCAGACCTTGCTGCAAGGTCTGAGGCTTCCAGCAGCATCCCCTCTTGGGGGGAGCTGTCAGGGCACCTGAGCTCCAGCTTGGGAGTTGCCAAAGGCTGCAATGGGCTTTCTTCCAGGCTGTAATGGGAGTAACACCCAGTCAGGGCACTGCAAGGCACAAGTCTTAGGAAATAGTCAAGGGGTCAATGTGCAGTGCAGGAGGGGATTGGCAAGTGCACAGGTTGACATTGGATGGACCTGCTCCACTTTGCTTGATGCCATAAATCTTTTCCTGTTCTAGGAACTGCTTCCTCTAGGTATTTAACAACATGCATTTAAAGCATCAGATTACTCATACCCTCATCTTCCAAAACTTCCTCATTCACCACCCTATCCCCTCAAAAAAAAAAAAAAGCAAGACACTAATATATGATGTGAAATAACACAGGTTAACTTTGACTTTGTCTAGCTGTGAATTTATTGGAGATTAAGCAGAGCTCCTTGCTGGTAAGGCCAATGTCAGCTTGAGCTGGGCTTTCGTAGTCTCTCAGGGGAGATTTTCTGCTCAGGTTTGGCATGTAAACAGGGGATGCAGCTTTGCCATGTGCTGCCTGTGGCAGGAAGCAGCACAGCTCCTCCTCCCTCTTCTGGCCCTCCTGCCCTTGCCCCAGGCAGCAGTGTCTGTGCTGTGGGGTGAGCAGTCAAGGTGGAATAACCGAGGGGTTTGTTGGGTTTTTTTGTGTGTCTGTGAGATGGCTGGAGATGATGACTATATACAAAAGCAAGAAGACTTTAGTGTCCATTTCTTGTTGTAGTACTTGATTTCTAGCTGTTTTGTGAAACTTGTGTGCTTTGAAGTTAAGACTGCAGCAAAGCACTCACTTGGTTTGAGTGTTTGGTTTCCTTATAAACTGTATACAGTAATATTCCTTGAAGCTGAAATGATAATGGGTTTAATAAAGAGCTAAACAATTTTCCTGAGAGAGAAAAGCAACAAGCCTAAACATTTTCTGGAAAATCATGCAGCTAATGACCTCTCCACATGATTTTCCTGGTGCTAAAAACACAGTTTGGTATATCATATTTTTTTTCCATTGGAGACAGATTGTTTTCAGTAGGGTCAGGAGCCCAAAGTAACTTGTGTACAGATGTGAGTTTCCACACAGAAACCATCGTGTATTTTGATGGTGTAAGGACACAAAGTTGAGCAAAGCTGAAAAGGTAAGACTGAGCAGTCAGCACACACTGCTCCAGATCTAGGATTGTTGCTTTTTTTTCTTAAATATGGATGGAAGAAGCCTCATGTAAAACTAAAAATAAGTGGCTTGGCTGAAAATTAGGCATCTACCACCGAGTGAAAAGATAATAAAGCTGTGTAGGAAAGAGTTTGGGCTCTCCCCCACCCCGAGGCAAAAGAAGAAGTAGGGACAGCTGTGGTTTGCCAGGTTATCATGTTCAGACTCCAGTTACATGAACTTACCTATTGCGTGCTCTGTGTGCAACTAGGATAAATGGTGTGAGCATTCTTGGATTGAATCCCAGAGTAGCAACAGCAGACAAAGAGCAATGTGGTGCTTTCTGTTGCAATCCTGTGTAAGGTGCTTGGATTTATTTTCTGTTTGAGGAGGTGCTCCCAGCAGCCCCTGCAGCTCAATGCCTCAGCCCATTTT